TTTAAAGTTCTTATCAAAAAGGTCCTTCACTTGTTTAGTTAGTGTTATCCCAAGATATTTTATATTATTTGTGGCTATTGTAAAGGGTGATGTTTCTCTGACTTCTTTCTCAGCCCTTTTATCATTTGTGTATAGGAGGGCTGCTGATTTTTTTTTTTTTTTTTGAGTTGATCTTGTATCTTGTATTCTGTCACTCTACTGAAGGAGTTTATCAGCTGTAGGAGTTCCCTGGTAGAATTTTTGGGGTCACTTATGTATACTATCATATCATCTGCAAATAGTGAAAGTTTGACTTCTTCCTTTCCAATTTATATCCCTTTGATCTCCTTTTGTTGTCTTATTGCTCTAGCTAGAACTTCAAGTACTATATTAAATCCAAATTTTGTGGAGTACAGGTTTTTGAAGTATGACCTAATGATTCTCTGGATTTCCTCGTTGTCTATTGTTATGTCTCCCTTTTCATTTCTGATTTTGTTAATTTAGGTGCTCTCTCTTTGCCTTTTGGTTAATTTGGCTAGGGCTTGTCTATCTTGTAGATTTCTTTCAAAGAACCAACTCTTTGTTTCATTGTTTTTTGGGTTGTTTTTTTTTTTGTTTTGTTTTTGGGTTTTTTTTTGTTTGTTTGTTTTGTATTGTTCTCGGTTTCAATTTCATTGATTTCAGCTCTCAATTTGATTATTTTCTGGCATCTATTTCTCCTGGGTGAGTTTGTTTCTTTTTGTTCTAGAGCTTTCAGTTGTGCTATTATTTCATTGGTATGGGATTGTTCCATCTTCTTTATGTGTGCATTTAGAGCTATGAATTTTCCTCTTAGCATTGCTTTCATAGTGTCCCATAAGTTTGGGTATGTTGTACTTTCATTTTCATTTAATTCTAGGAAATCTTTAATTTCTTTCTTTATTTCTTCCTTGGCCCATTGGTGTTTCAGGTGGGCATTATTCAGTTTCTATGAGATTGTAGGCTTTCTATAATTTTAGTGTCTGCATAACATTTGTCCAGGACCTTCTAACTTTCATAATCTCTATTGAGAAGTCTGGTTACTTGGTCTTTTTCCTTTGTGGCTCCTAATATTTTTTCTTTGTTCTGTATGTTTAGTGTTTTGATTATTATGTGGCCAGGGGACTTTTTTTTTTATCCAGTCTATGTGGTGTTCTATAAGCTTCTTGTATCTTCATAGGTATTTCTTTCTTTAGGAAAGTTAGGAAAGTTTTCTTCTATAATTTTGTTGAATATATTTTCTGTGCCTTTGAGGTGATATTCTTCTTCTATCCCTATTATTCTTAGGTTTGGTCTTTAGTGTTTTCTTTGACAGACGAATCTATTTTCTCTATCGTGTCTTCAATGTCAGAGATTCTCTGTTCCAGCTCTTGCATTCGGTTGGTTATGCTTGCTTCTGTAGTTTTTGTTCGTTTAGTCAGGATTCCTATTTCCAGCATTCCCTCAGCATGTGTTTTCTTTATTGTCTCAATTTCAATTTTCAGATCTTGAATTGTTTCCTTCATCTGCTTAATTACTTTTTCTTGGCTTTCTTTGATTTCTTCCAATTTTTTGATTGTTTTTTCTTCCATTTCTTTAAGGGAATTTTTTTATTTCCTCTTTAATGAAGTTTTTTGTTTCCTCTTTAATGGCGTTTTTTATTTCCTCTTTAAGGGTCTCTATAATCTTCTTAAAGTCATTTTTAGGGTTGGTTTCTTCTGCTTCTTCTGCCTTGGTATGTTCAGGTCTTGCAGGTATAGAATGCCGGTCTGGAGATGGAGGCTTACCTGTTCCCAGTCGGTGTAGTGTAGGATTATGATTCTGGTGATCTGGTTCAGTGGCTGGGCGGTGCCTTCTTTTGTGTTCTCAGGTCGCATTTTGCTCATTTGTCAACTCCTCAGCTGATCTTGTTTCCTCAGACTGCAGACTGTGGGATTCTGAATCCTCTCCTGAATGTATCTCAGCTGAGCAGTTTGTTTAGTAGAGGAATCTCACCAACACCTCCAAGTTGTTGGGTTTTGCAGGATCAGCAGCTAGACCCTGGGTTGGCCTCAGACAGAGTGTTCAGATCTGTTCCCACGGAGATGGCTCCTTCCCCAGGTGCTGGGATTAAAGGCATGTTCCAAGCTCTTAATCTCCTTGCTTTCACTAACTCCTCAGCGGGTAATAGCTCAGTTTTTGGTCTTTATTACGACCGCGTCTCTGCCCCTGCTCTGCCTGCCTCTGTAGTCTTTTGGTTTTTAAGACAGTTTCTCTGTATAGCCCTGGCTATCTTGGAACTCACTTTATAGTGCAGGCTGACCTCGAACTCAGAGATCTGTTTGCCTCTGCCTCCCAAGTGCTGGGATTAAAGGCATGCACCACCACCGCCCAACTAAGACCCTATCTTTTTTTGGTTAGGATTTCCCATTGAACCTAAAACTCATTAATTCAGCAAGACTAGTTAGGCAGCAAACCCCAGGGTTCTTCCTGTATCCACCTCTGCAGTACTGGGCTAAGACACATGTACTGCCACAGTTCTCAATTTAAGTCATGCTTGTATATGGCAAGCACTTTACCAACTGAGCTATTAACCCTATTTCTTAATTATTTTTTTTTCAGAAGTTGTCCTAAGCTAGTTGTGATATGCATTTATAATCCCAGCACTTAAGAGAAAGAGGTAGGTGGGTCCCTGTAAGTTTGAAGTCAGCCTTATCTGCATAGTAAAATCTTGGCCTTGGGGGGTTGGAACCCCAAAGATTACTTCCTATTATCCTTGAGTAGTGACAGAATCATGGGGTGTCAGCTTGCTGCACAGAGGATGTCCCTGAGTCTTCCTGTTGAACATAGCCAGCCTCAGTTAGGCTTCTCTTCCTGTCCTACTTCTGGAAGCACATCCTGTGGGACTCCTTCCTGCCTAGATCACAGTCTTCTTGCTGTATCACTCTAACAAAAGAAGCAGCTATGGCTTCTCAGTTCCATCCAGCAGCACATTCTCGTAGTAGCAGTTCTTGTTTGGCATGAGCCTATTCTTGCCCTTTCTGGTTTGTTTTGTTGTTGTTGTTTTGGTTTTTCAAAACAGGAGTTTTCTGGAGTAGCCCAGACTGGCCTAGAACTCAGATCTGCCTGCCTCTTGTTTCCCAAGTTCTAGGATTGAAGGCATGTGCCACTACATCCTGGCGGAACCTTGAGTCTATGTAGTGAAGCTCTAGGCCAGCCAAGGCTTAGTGAGACCCTGATTCCAAAAAATTAATTAATTGATTAATTGATTAATTAAGCTTGGTCTTTTCAACAAAATGTAGAAATCATCAGTTCTTCTGTTACTTGAACTGGGTGTAAATTCTTTCCAAGTAAAGTTCTACTTTCTTCATTTCAGGCCACTAAAAGACTGGGCCTAAATAAGTAGCAGCCAGTTTTCTAATGCATCTTACTATTTTTAGATACATGGTCTGATGTCTAAGGAGGAAACTGCAGCAGTGTTTAAATATCTGTAGTGCAGTGGAAGCACTTCCTGCCTAGACTCACCTCTTAGATTGCAGCACATCCTGCTGAACTCCCTCACTGGTTCATCTTGTAGCTGGCTACCCTTTGTCTCAGTAGCAAACCTGTTCTGACCCTGCCTCCCTTCCCTCTGCCTTTTGAAGGCCCTCAGTGTAACAGAGAAAGGTGAAAGGTGTTGGTTTATAATTGGGAGCAGCACTGTAAAAACACAACAAGAAGTCACTGGCAAAAAGTCCTCCTTATCAGTTCAGCTGGTTCTAGAAATAGTCTCACTTTAGTCCCAACCCCCAGGCCCACAGCCACTCAGACCCAAATAAACACACAGATGCTTATTAAACTGTTTGGCCTAATGGCTCAGGCTTTTTGTTATCTAGTTCTTACATCTTAAATTAACCCATTTCTATCATTCTATAAGTTGCCACGTGGCTCGTTACTTACTGGTACTTTACACCTTGTTTCTCATGGCAGCAGCTGGTAGCGTCTCCTGACTCAGCCTTCCACTTCCCAGAATTCTCTTCTCTGCTTGTCCTGCCTATACTATACTTCCTGCCTGGCTACCAGCCAATCAGCATTTTATTTATCAGTCAATCAGAGCAACACATTCACAGCATACAGAAAGACATCCCCAGCAGGGAACTGTGTGAGTGTGAACTTTTGACATGCTTTTTCAACAGGGAAGTAGTAGACTGGCCATAGGATTGCTCATTCTCAGGCCAAGTGTTCAGAGGCCCAGGTTGTATAAGGTTTGGCCTCCCAGTTCTTAGGTACTAGCTTTGCGTAAATAAAATTTGGTTTAAGAAGAAGCTGAATTTCTTCTCCATGTTATCAACCTGTAGGATTTCTAGAATGAATAAGTCATTTTTCTAAATGTTAAGTGCCAGGCATTGTGCCAAATATTTGGCTTTGAATCTTACTTGGATTCCAAAAACATCATTAGAACGTTATGCTTTCCCAATTTAAAAGTTAAAAAAAACTGAGTCTCCTGGCAGTTGGGAAATTTATCCAAGGTAATACAGTTGATGGTTCTCAGACTCCAAAACACAGGCCCTTTTCACTGTTTGGGCGTAACCAGAAGACTCAGTCATTACTCGTGGAAAAAAAAATTACATTAATTTCCATATTATTTTTCATTTGCCTTCCCTATCAACTCCAGTTGTTGTCTTTTGTTTTTTGTTTTTTTTTTCTCAGTGAAGAAAAAATGACTGCTGCTCGCATTAGAAAATGCCACAAGTGTGGGACCGGCCTCATCAAATCAGAAGGCTGCAATCGCATGTCTTGCCGCTGTGGTGCCCAGATGTGCTACCTCTGCCGAGTTTCTATCAATGGCTATGACCATTTCTGCCAGCATCCTCGATCTCCAGGAGCCCCTTGCCAAGAATGTTCCAGGTGCTCCCTCTGGACCGACCCCACTGTGAGTAGATACGTGGCAGCCCATGACAGTTCCATGTATGGGAAAACAGCCACACATTTCTTTAATGAAAATATTTTGTATATATGTGACAGGTTCTGACTCATAGAAACATACAAGAAATTACATAGACCAATAACCACAAGAAAAACTGAGGGGCTGGGCGGTGGTTGTGCACGCCTTTAATCCCAGCACTTAGGAGGCAGAGTTCAAGGCCAGCCTGGTCAACAAAGTGAGTTCCAGGACAGCCAGGACTGTTACACTAAGAAAGCATCTCTCGAAAAACCAAAAAAAAAAAAAAGAAAGAAAGAAAGAAAGAAAAACTGAGAATGTCATCAAAAAATATTTATCACAAGATACAACTGGGTGTAGTGGACATGCCTTGTGGCTGTTCTCAGGAGGCTGAGGTAGGAGAATCATTGAGATCTACCAAGAAACAGAGGTGACCCCCATCTCAGAAAAAGTCTTGTGGGCAAACTCCTGGCCTTCTAGGAAATAAACATTTTCTCTGCCATCTGAAATGTTATACAGAGCAATGGAGAGTTACCAGCAACACAGTAGTGCCACCAGAGCCCCACAACTTTCACTAGAAAGAGTGCTGCAGAGTTCTCAGGCGCCTCACAGGGAAACATGACCTCACACGTATAATTCCAGCATTCAGAGGATGAGACACGAGGATTACAAGTTTAAGGCTATTTAGGGGGATTTGGGACCCTATCCCAAAAAATTTAAAAGGAAAGCAAAAACATTGGATGCAGTATCTTGGAGAAATGCAAAGGTAGCTTAATATCAGCAGCATTTTTTCTTTTTGTTTTTTTCAAGGGAGGATTTCTTTATGTATCCCTGGCTGGCCTGGAAATCATTCTGTGGACCAGGCTGGCCTTGAACTTGGAGATCCTCCTGCCTCTGCTTCCTGAGTGCTGGGATTAAAGGTATATGCTGGTGCCACCTCCTTCCCCCCCAGCTTCGTTCTTGATTTAAACTTTAAAAAATAATGTTATGGTGGGCAGTAGTGGCACATTCCTTTAATACCAGTACTTGAGAGGTAGAGGCAGGCGAATCTCTAGTTCCAGGACAGTCATAGCTACAAAGAAGAAACAAACAAAATAATAAATAAAAATAATAATGTTATTAGAATACTTGCCTAGCACACAAGAGGCACTGTGTTCGATGTCCAATACCACAAAAGAATAATATAGGAGACTAAAGAAATGGCTAAGCAATTAAGAGCATGTGTTGCTCTTGCAGAGGACCTGGGTTCAGTTTCTAGTAGCATATTGTGATACATCCCTGGCTCCAGTTTTAGGAAATCTGATGCAGCCTTCTGACCTTCGTGGGCACCAGGAATACATATGGTTTACAGACAAAAATGCAGGCAAAACAGTCATACATATAAGATCTTTTTTTAAAATCTTTTAAATAATAATAGCATTAGCATTAGAAGAATATTTTTATTTGGGCTGGAAATGTAAATCAGTTGTTAGAGTGCTTGCCTGGTATGCATAAAGCCCTGGATTCCATCCCTAGCACCACATAAACCTAGAATATTTGTGCACACCTACACTCCCATCACTGGTAAAGTGAAAGGAAATCACAAGTTCAAAGTCATCTTCAACTACATACAGGTTCCAGGCCCTCCTAGGCTATATGAGACCATCAACCCTGTCTGTCACCAGGTGGCTGGAGAGATGGCTCTGCAGTTAAGAGCACTGGCTACTCTTGTAGAGGATGCATGTTCCATACTCAGCACCTACTTGTTGATTCACAACCTCCTGTAACTCCAGCTCTAGAGGTTCCTATACCCTCCCTGACCTCAGAGGATGCTGTACACATGCAGTATACATACATACATGCAGATAAAACACCCATACGAATAAAATAAGTAAATCTTAAAAAAAAAAAAAAAAAAACAGCCAAACGGTGGTAGCACGCACCTTTCATCCCAACACTCAGAGGCAGAGGTAGGCAGATCTTTATGAGTTCGAGGCCAACCTGGTGTACAGACTGAGTTCCAAGACAGCCAAGACTACACAGAGAAACCCTGTCTCAAAAAAACAAAAAAAAAAAAAGACACCTTTTTCCTCGTCCAGCCTTGATATGAGGGTTTGTGCCTAGTCTTACTGCATTTTGCTATGCCATATTTGTTTGATATCACTGAGAAGCCTACTTTTTTTCTGAAAGGAAATGGAGGAGCAGTGGGGAGGGGGTGGCAACTGGAAGGAGTGGAGGGAGGGAAGGCTGTGGTCAGAATTTTTAAAAAGACACTGTCAGCCGGGCATGGTGGTGCACACCTTTAATCCCAACACTCCAGAGGCAGAAATAGACAGATCTCTGTGAATTCCAGGACAGCCAGAGCTGTTACACAGAGAAATCCTGTGGTGGCAGGCTAGAGAGGCGGGGGACTGGGGGATCCTGTCTCTAAAGAAAAGCTAGGTAGCTATGGCAGTTCACTCCTATAAATCTAGCACTAAGAAGACTGAGGTAAAAGTATTGCCTAGGCTACAGACAGCCTGTCTCAAAAACAACAACAAAAAAAAAAAATGTTAATTATGAAGTGATGACAGATTTATTGATTTCTTCCATTTGGATTTTAGCTTGGTTTTTGAGGCTAAATCTCATATAGCATAGGCTGACCTCCACCTCAAATTTTAGGATTATAGATGTGAGTCATTTCTTCATTCTCTTTTTTTTTTTTTAAGACTTACTCATTTTTATTTTATGTGTGTGAGTGTTTGCCTACATATTTATACATGCACCACTTTTGTGCTTGGTGTCTGCCAAGGCCAGAAGCATGTGCTAGATCCCATGCAACTGGTGTTGCAGATGTTTGTGTGGGTGCTAGGAACTGAATCCCAGTCCTCTACAAAAGCAGTAAGAGAGGCATCTTTGCAGCCTCCATTTCTTCATTTTTAACTAGGCAGTGGTGGCGAAACCAACCTGTTGAGCAGAAAGGCCCTGATACAGTATGAAACAATCTTTCGTGGTTTAATAGTTTCAGACTAGTCAGAGTTAGCCAATATTAGCAAAAGCTAGAGAGGCATCTCCAGGAGACAGCATCTGTATTTAAACCTAAAGGAGACGAAAGGCCACCAGGAAGATAAAATTCAGTCTGTTGTGGCCCAGAAAGAAGGCAGGAGTGGCTCACAGGTACTGAACTGTGACAAGTGAGAAGGTCTGAGTGCCACTGGAGCCCCTACATGGTGTTACAGACTACATTGTCTACTGTACAGTTTGGGAAGGGGACATTAGACAGCTGGGATAGAATACTTGTCCAAACAATAAGAAGTACCTCTAGAAAACCAAGAGGATGACTTTATAGTACAGAAGGTCCAACTTAGGACCAGACTAAGAAAAAACTGGCGTTTGGGCCCATGAGATGACCCACAAAATAGGAAAGAGCTAAATTCCCAGGTTGTCCACTGACCTTCACACATGCCCTGTGACAAGCACAACATCCATAGACAAATAAATAGTTTCTTGTTGTGGGTTTGGGTTTTTTTGTTTTAGTTTTTGTTTTTTGTTTTTTTGTTTGTTTGTTTGTTTGTGTGTGTGTGTGTTGTTTTTTTTTGTTTGTTTGTTTTTGGTTTTGGTTTTTGATTTTTCGAGACAGGGTTTCTCTGCGTAGCTTTGTGCCTTTCCTGGAGCTCACTTGGTAGCCCAGGCTGGCCTCAAACTCACAGAGATCCGCCTAACTCTGCCTCCCGAGTGCTGGTATTAAAGGCGTGTGCCACCACCGCCCGCGCTTAGTTTTTGTTTTTTGTTTTTGTTTGTTCTGTTTTGTTTTGGGGTTTATCTAGACACGGTTTCTTTTTGTAGCCTGGCTGTCTAGGAATTAGCTCTGTGAACCAGGCTGACCTTGAACTCATAGAGATCCACCTGCCTCTGCCTCTAAGTGCTGAGACTAAAGGCGTGCTGCCACCAGCACCCAGCATAAATGATAAAAGTTTTTTAAAAGAATTGTCCAGGAAAGGCGCAAAGCTATACAGAGAAAACTGTCTTGAAGAAAGAAAAAAAAAGAATTGTCAACTTAGGAGCTAGAGAAATGGCTCAGCAGTTAAGAGCACTCAATGCTCTTACAGAGGACCCAGGGTTGGTTCCCAGCTCCTACATCGCAGCTCACAACCATCTATAACTCCAGTTCTATGGAATCCAGCGTCCTTTTCTGGACTCCATAGGCATCAGGAACTAGTGTAGTGCACAGGAATAACATGCAGGTAACACATATGCATAAATAAATTTTGGAAAAAAATAATCATCGCCAGGTGGTGGTGGTGCACGCCTTTAATCCCAGCACTCGGGAGACAGAGCCAAGTGGATCTCTGTGAGTTCGAGGCCACCCTGGTCTACAAAGCGAAATCCAGGACAGGCACCAAAACTACACAGAGAAACCCTATCTTGAAAAAACCAACAAAACAAAACAAAAAAAGAATCGTCAACTTAGATTTAAGTAACATCGAGCCTAAAATAGTGAGAGGGGCCAGTGAAATGGCTCAGTAGATAAAGGAACTTGCTGCTAAGCCTGTGACCTGAGTTTCATGCCAGAAGCCATATGGTAGAAGGAGAGAACCAACTCCTTCAAGTTATCCTCTGACCTCCACATGTGTGTCTCACACACGCACGCACTAAAAATAGCAAAAGCTGATTGTGACTTAGCAGAACAGTTGCCTAGCACATATGGGAGGATCTAGGTTCAGCACCCAAAAATGAAAGAGAAAGTGTCTGTTTAAACAGCTAGAGATACCTTTCTCCCTCTGTGAGTCCAGAAGTGGACAGCCCTGGACTAGAGTAGCAGTTCACTAGGTATCAGTTGCTCCCAGCATTCTGTTTCACTATCTAGGAGCTGGTGTCTTTAGGATCACGTATTGCCAGTGGCTAAAAGGAACAGGAAGCCTATCTAACTCAAGAATGTTAGGCTTCCAGATAGACACTAACTTGTGTTGCCTCTCCTTTGGTTCCATTAGCAGAATCTTAATCCTGTAGCCTTAGTAGCACCAGAGATAGGA